AGCTAACATTTTGTGGGAGAGAAAAATGTAAGAACAATATGAGACCATTTAAAAAGTAGTATGGACAGTTGCATAAAGGAAATGAAGAGAAAATGTAGAGAGTAAGGGTGCAGCACAGTGACATAGGGAACGGTGAGAGAAGGGAAGCAACGTAGGGGATGTAAGCTATACATCCAATTCATGAAAACAAAGTCTGTGTCCCCTTCCAGTAAAATATGAATAGAGATGAAACAGTGGCCTCACCTTGGTTGTAAGGTGTGTTCATCAGATTAAATTTCACTTGGCATATCCTGCTGTTTACTTGGACAGTGACGTTAGAGTAAGTTATTTTTTATTATTTCTATCTCTTGACATTCTGATTAGCTCATCAGCAATCAGTCACTATTCACTCTTCAATTGCTTTTATTAAGTAGCCAACTCCCCCCCCCTCCCCACCCCCATCAGCAAATTATTCACGTTTGGGAAAGAGTCCTCTATCTTGAGAGAGCGCTTGCTCCAGGCCAGATGAAATGTAGTCGTGCTGCTACAAGACTCGAATGAATCATGGAATTTTAAGACAAACTTTAAGTATTATGGTTTCTAGGGAATATAAGGGTATGCCAGTCACCTTTGGATTCATTCTGACTCCGATGATTTTTCAGAGGGAGCACCGAGGAATTGAATAAATTGTATAACTTGATATGCTAGCTAATTTTGTGAATGTCTTTTTAGTCAGGGCTGTGTAAGCGCAGTATGCATGTAATTCTTTGCTTTTGTGTTTCTGAATTAGAGCAAAAACACATCCAGGTACAATTATAGCATATATTATCCTGAACTCGTGAGCACAGTGGAGTTCCTTTCAATATTTCTGAGGATGGTCAATTATCTTTGAAAAGAGTCCACCAATCTGTACACGCTGGCTTTTTTCCCCTCTCTCATTAGAATTAATCTTGAAAGTTATATGTGGAATATTTAAAATATTAAGTCATATTTTCCCATCCTAAGTAAGGAAATTTGTGCTCACAGAAAAAAAAAATGTTGGGCCTTTTCTAATGAAAATCAAATTTTAACGTACCAGCCTTTTTCAGTGAGTATTCTGCATTTGTCAATGTGCAGATTGCAGTAACTTTTTTATACAAGAAGTTAGTCAAGTGGATCCACACCATTAAAAACAAATGGTTATTTTCATGTTATTGAGATTTTCCCCTCAAGCTGTGAGTCTTGAATATTTAAGTAGACATCCCATTTGTGGCAATCTGTCTTGCCTTTTGTGACATTGTCTTGTGAGTAGAGCCACAAAAAGTTGTCTTTTTATTGAGATTTATTGGGCTGTGGTCTTCTGTGGTTAAAGTAGAAATTTAGATGAATCAATATGAACTTTAAAACAATGGATATGCTCAAAGCAGTGCTGGCCTTCAAATAGAGCAGTATCTGTGAGATGTGTTTAAACTATTTACCCTGCCTCTGTTTGATAACAATTGAGGCCCCAGTCAGGTTTGTATTTTTAATCCTGTAAAAGGCAACTGGACCGCCCTTACGTAGGACCTGGAGAGTGAGTACAAGCAATGATAGCTTCACCTGGCAGGGACCCGGAGTAGCATTCAATCACATACTGGCTTAGTCAGGCTCTAAAAGCCAGGGTGCAAAACAAAACATCTTATAGAGTTATTCTAGTAATTTCTTTAAATCGCCCTTAAAGTACAATATGTGCAGGTTAGTGTATATAACTCTGAAGCGTAATCTTTATGCACAACATAGTCTGAGAACCACTGGGCTAGAATAAAGGAAGGAACAAAAGGGGTGCTGTCTAGACACTCAAACTATTGTTTCTTTGTGGTAACTCCCTACATCCATGGAAAAGTGGAGAATGCTAAAGAATCCTGCTTGCCTGCAGGATTTACCGCGTTCTCCTTTGAGATCAAGCCTCTGTAATCTTCAGACATGTTCATAGATTGAGTTGGTAATGTGAGGATTATATTAGACAGTAAGCATGAAAGCACCTTGCTCAGGACCAGGTTGATGTGATAGGTTTAAATCTAAGTGCTGCTTGTCATTGTTCTTTGGGAAGTTGTAGAGGAGGATTTGGCCAGCTGCCTCCTGTTTTTCTATGTTGGGACTTCCCGCTGTCTAGCAGTGACTTACACGTTCTTGCACATTGGCTGCCTCTGTGGACCAGTTGGAGGTAGGAGTGGGTGAGGTTTTCAGCTCTAAGGTCAGGCCCTACATTTGGTGGCTATGACGTGACTCAGTTGAATATCATACATAACCCTTGGGATCTGTAGGTCTTCTCTTGGTCTTCTAGAGTTCAGATTTCCAATGTGAGAATCACCTGATGAAATTGTATAAACCGCCTATCTAGACTTTCCATGGCGAAGTCATAACTATGTATGTTTAAATGTTTTTTTATTATGTGTTTTTGGGGGTATGTTCGAATTTGTGTTTTTAGAGAACTGCCCAGGTGATTCTTATGTAACCAGCATAACCCTGGGGAGTAATATATTTTGCCACAAGGGTCTTTGAACATTTATGACCCTAATTTAGCATAAATTATTTAGGAAATAACTGCTGTATTTTTATGAAGGTTTAAAAGGACATAATTTCAGTTATGAAGTGAATCAACCACTTATTAGCCGAATAAGCCGTAAGATTGACCTTTTAGTAGATGTAAAATTGGTACACTTAGGTTTACATATTTTAAAAATTGAATACTAACCAAGTCGTTTATTTGCTTGGGGTGCTATGGCCTTTGATTTCTACTCCCAGGTATCGCTGAAATGATCACCTGAGGTTTTGTTTGCTTGTTTGTTTTTAACAGCTTAGGTTTTGAATTGCATTTTCTTTTTCATTTTGGAAGGTAACTTGGTATTTCTCAGAATTTAGTGTAAGTTCAGAATTTTACTTGAAGCTCAGTTTGAAAAGGAAATGTATGTTTCATCTCTGATTCAACATTAAGTTTCCTCTATCCCAGCAAATGTTTCTGTCTCCACTCATCCTTACTGTCTGATTCATGAAGTATATTTTATTTGTGTATATGCTTAGTCCCACCTATTCCAGTGTTTCTTAGAATTGTTTCTGTTCAGTTATGTTCCTTTTCTTTATCCTCTCTTTCTGTCTTTTCCCCAGCTTATGCACAAAATCTGTTTCCCCACATGAAAATAACCAATCCTTCTCTCCACCTTGCTGCGCTTCCGTCTACCATGTCACTTTATCTCTTTGCTTCTCTATTCCGGCCAATTCTTGAAAGATTAACTTTATTTGCTGCCTCTACATCTTGACCTTTTGCAGTTTGGCTTCTATGCTTACCACTTTATTGGAACTCCATTTTAACGGAGTCACTAATAACTTCCTATTTCCCACATCTAACAGTCTTTTCTAAGCTCTCATCCTCTGACCTTTTGCAGTATTTGAGGATGCTGATCACACTTTTCTTCTTGACAGCTCTTCCATGGACATACATGACACTTCAGCCTCAGTTGTCCAACCTCTGTGACTGCCTGTCTCTTATTTCTTTTCTGAATCGTTCTCTGTATTTGCTATGTAAATGTATTTATTAACATGTTCTTCTGCCTTTGCTGTTCCTCCCACTTTTGTGCATTCCTTTTTGCTGGATTTTTAGCTCCAGGAGCTAGGACAAAACTATGGGGTACACCCTGAGGGACTCTTAGACTGAATCTGGAGGAAACATATCTGAGATGCCAGAAGGGAGATCCAATGTTGTGGTTAGGAAATGGTGCCCAAATATTAAGTCTGAAAGGTAAGGATGAAAAATGGGAAATTAAGCAGTAAGAGTAGTAGTCTGTATGATGGAAAATAGACAGATGGGACAAGAGCATGAATGTATATCTTCTCCAGTCACTTTGTACCTGAGAGCCCAATGCGTATTACCTGGGAGCATGATCTCTTGAAGGAATTGCTGGGACTTTGGCTTCAACAATCATTTCTCAGGTGATGAACCTCAAATCTGCATCTGAATCCCCATTAAATTCTCCTATGAACCAGAGTTCTACTAGTATTTCAATCTTCCTCTTAGATGGTTTCCCCAGGATATTTAACTGGTACCCCAAGTTTAACATTCCAAATTAAATTTATTTTCTTTATCCTGAGACCAACTTTTTTGGGGGAGGAGGGGTTCCTAATATGTATATCACTGTTCTGTCATTCTGGATAAAAATCCAAAGCCACCCTTGATTCTCCTTTTAGCCCACATCTAGCTATTTGAAAAGTATTATCAGTATTATCTCCATGATGTCTTATAATTGTCCCTACCTTTACTTCCTTTTGTTTCAGCTGCTGATTTAGGGGCTGGCTGCTACTCAACACTCCAGAGATAGCCCCCTATTTAGTATCCTCTTACCCCTATTCTTTTCATTGCTGCCAGACTAATGTTTCCAAAACTCAACCATGAATTTAGAAGACACTTAAAAAAAATTTTTGTTATTGATTTCAGAGAGGAAGAGAGAGGGAGAGAGAGATAGAAACATCAATGATGAGAGATAATTATCAATCAGCTGCCTCCTGCACGCCCCCTACTGGGGATGGAGGTGGCAACCTGGGCATGTGCCCTGACATGGAATGGAACTGTGACCTCCTGGTTCATGGGTTGATGCTCAACCACTGAGTCACACCGGCTGGGCTAGAAGACACTTTAAACTTATCTCGACATTCCTAGCCAGAGATACTTGCTTCCCCCTCAGTGTTTTGGGAGCACTTATGCTTTCTACCATTGTGTATTTATGTGTGATTATTATATATATACTATATTACATGTTATGTACATATTTCTACACATGAATTATACATCCCTATAGATTGTAAGCTCCTTGGGGGGCAGTAACTGTCTCTTATTTACCTGCTACCACCATATATTCCTTGCATTGACTTGCAACAAATGTGCATTGAATGGAATTAAACAACTGGCCGGGATGGAAGGACTCTGATCCCAATGAATAGTAGGTAATCTATGAGAGTCATTTTAATTTAACATTAATTTCATTTTTTGTGCATTTGTTTTATCTGAAAAGCTTTTTTATTAAGCTCTGCTGATGGCATAAGTGGAACAGTTAACTGGAAGACCAAACAGGCCAACAATTTTATTGTCAGCAGAAAAATGGCTGCTGGGAAGAAACATGGTGAGTTTAGGTTGTAAATCTGAATCCCTTTTGGGGAGTCAGTTAAATGTCTGCTTCCAATACCCCTTCTCCTCGTCTTAGTCATGTGTGGATTTTTTAAAGTCAATCTGAAAAAAATTAAAATTTGTTTTCCTAATCTTCTAAAACTTCTGATTCTCTGTGTTCTTAATCCATTATTTCCCAAGTGTTTTTCCTTTGCGATAGTTATGCTTTTTTAAAAAAACTAAAAATAATTATGTTTTTAACCTATTGTTGCCCCTTATCCAGTCACTGGCTTGCCACTTATAAAAATTGTCCCAGTGTGGTTATTATAACAATTAACATTGAAAAACATTAAGAAGTACATTTAACATAAATCACTTTAAGACAGTATTTATATAACCTTAGAAAAATTGTCATAAAATGTTTTGGCTAATTGTGGATGATTTTTTGAATGATTTTTGTGCAAAACCATATTGATATGTTTTGCAATTAAATAATTTGATGCCAATTGTTTTGTTTTGAAAGATGACCTGACCCTTGAATGATTTATTGTTCCTTCTCATTTTTTCTTTTATATGGATAAATGTGTCCATTAGCAATATGCCAAGACCTTTGAAATACTGCATTTCATCATGGAGAAAAATATTAATAACCAAATATTAGTGGTTTTAAAAATATCAATTATTATGTTTTCAGTTTATATTGTATTTCTTGATTATTTACCTTTCTGATCCCTCTTACACCTCATACACACACACATACACACAATTTTGACTATATGTGGTCATGAACATTAGTAGAATAGTAGCCTGGTTTTCATAACTTTGGGACAACTAAAGTGTCTATAAAAATAACAATTTTAAAATATTTTGAAAAGAATAGCAATTTTATGCACTCAAATAGCCTTACTGCCAAATAAAACCAGGGTACTTGTAGGAGCGATTCCTGGCTTACCTCATTTTATTCATACATCCTTCAAGTTGGGGGTCACTAACTTTTTTCCTGCTAGCACCAAATTATTCCACAGCTGGAATCTTGTATTCCCAGATTTATTTCAGAGTAAGACAAAAGATCCCATTGTTCTCCTACCCTGCTTCTTTGAAACAAACCAACAAACATATTTTTTTGCATTTTTAAGTAATTTCCATTGCTAATATCGATAAAAAAATATAGTTTTATTATAAGAACTTTCCATGAAAAGATCACAAAAATTTGTTTTATAAAACACTCGATGTACTTGTTCCAGGATCTAAGCCCATCGTGTCATAGTCCGTTCCCCAGACCCTCCTTAGATATTCTCATGGAATTCTCCCTGGCTTCTTTAAGGAAATCAACCCTGACTACCCTTATCTGGCTGGTTCCTTAATCAAGCTGTGGGCCCTCAGCTTCTCTGGCACATCCACTCCTCCTGTTTTCTAAATTTTCTAGTCCTGCTCATCAGATGGCCCTCAATGTTGCCATCTGCAAGGTGCTTCTCTCCTCTGCCATCTCCCAAAGACTTGGGACTTGCCTGATTCTGGTGACTCACTCAAGATTCCCAAAGACTCTTCCCCTGGACTTGACACTATTTTGTCCTAAATTGCAGTTATCATTTCCTTTTTCTTCAGTCTCTTCTCTTTAATTTTGATCCCTAGAATTTCTGTCCTCTTTGAGCATGTCCCTTCATTTCCTATTTCATTTGCCAAAAGAGTACTCTCTAACCAGCTGTTAAACCCAGTTGAGTTGTCTACTATGGTGCTGTTCTTGGGGAAATAAACTATTCCAAGACCTTTAATAGAGATATTATCTCTTCCTCTTTCAAACTTTATGCTGCCATTTGACCTCAAACTGATTTTCTCCTTGGGACTTGAAAGATAACTGTACTTTTCAAAATAGAAATGAGCAATACATCTTGAACCTATTGAGGTAACCAGTTCAGGTTACCACATTATGTTTATTTCTTCAGTTTCTCTTGAACTCATCCTTTAGCTTCTTCTCCCTTTCTGGTCTCTTTGTCCAATTTAAATTTTATTATTGTGGTTCTGATTATCACATATCTTATACAGAGAATAATAAGGTTCATCAACCATGTGAACAGAATTGTTTGTAGTATCTTATATAGCAAGGGTATTTTAAATGGTATCTCAGATCTATCAAATGTTCTGTGAAATGTTTTTTACAATTTCAAGAGAGCACAAAAGATTATAAGAGAATTTAAATAGGGAAATAAGCTTAGCAATTATATTTTTTGTATAACTTTCTTTTTAAATAGTGTTCCAATTCTTAATTTTAGCAATGGGTGGTGCCTTATCAGTAAATAGGATTTTGAGGAATTTAAATGTCTCAAACCAATACTTTCGGCATCATTCTACCTTGATACACATGAAGTGGTTGCAAAAACCAGAATGAACACTCTAAATATGGTTTCTTTTTTCTTTTTCCTGGGGTGAGGGTAGAGGAACTTAAAATTTACCCCTGGAACAATTTAAATAAAAAGAAATAAGCCTTTGCATTACTCATTTATATGCTTCACTTAGATAAACATTTTCAAATTCTACTTTCTTACTTAGGGCAACTCATGTTCTAAAATGGGTTAGTCTTAGGTTTACTGATAAACTTCTATTGCTTTCTTCCCTAAGAAACAAAGAGAAAACCAAAATGGTCTTGTGCTGATTTTCTAATTATTTTCAACTTAAATGTTAAACTTTAATTAGACATTCATGGGAATGAAGTAATATGTGAGTCGAATAATTGGGTAGGATTCTCCTTTGCCATCTTAAAGGAGGCTCCTTCTTAGTTATTGACAGTCAAGGGATTGCATGGCTCAAAGACAGAAAAATCTCTCTGGGTGACCTTTTACCCCTCTTTCCTTGGAGAGGAGCAGGAAGTGCTCTTAGGACTTAAGATGTATTCTTCTTTGCCTCAGAAAGGTGGCAAAGCCAGGAGGAAGGATCACCACGTTAGGACTTCAAAAGACCATCAACCAGAGATGTGAGTTTCTCCTTCTAGACTCTTAGCTATGAGGGCTGAAATGTCTCAAACTTTTTTCTTTCTTTAAACAAAAGAAACTTCTGGTTTGTATCTTGAAATTGTTATTGTCAACTCACTTTTTCCAATGGTGCAGTGTAAATTTGATAACTTCATGAAATACTAGAATGATCTTTGATTGGACAAATTCTGACTCGTCAGAAAAGCAAGAGAGATCATTAAGAAAGTTAAGGTGTTATGGAACATAATTAGCTTACTGTGGAAGATTTAATAATATAATATACAGCCACCAAATGTATTACTTTATGTTTTCAAACAAAATACCTGATTCCTTGAATCAAGTCCTGGCTCTTCCTCTTACTAGTTTAATAGCCTTGAATCTGTCTGTCCTGCTGGCTTCAGTTTTGTTATGTATAAAATGGAAGACTGAACTCTCCAGGAGAGCAAAGGCATGCCAACTCCAATTGGTGGTATCTGTCAGGAGTTCTCAGTTAAGTAGAAGGCTGCGGCCATATCCCAATAGTAAGTAACGCTATGATCTGTCTCTTTGTAGGGAAAGATAGTTAGCATAGCCAGGCAGGATGACATCTAAAACCCTTCAACTGCAGCGTTCTATGAGACTAAGTTTATTGATCACCAATTCATAATGATTTGCAGCCACTTTCCAAATGACATTTAAGAAAAAAAAACACAGCAAAACAAACACGTTGTTATTACGTGAAAAATCAAGATATTTAACTCTAGTTTAGAAAAATGGTTTCAGTAAGTGGCTTCAGTTAGAGGTGAGAGTGGGTGTGTGTGTGTGTCATGAAGAAACACTCTGGTTTTTGTAGAAAAAGTAGTGGTTTCTCTTCTGCCTCATGTAAAGAAAAATGGCCATATCTCTTAGAAGAATGAAATTTAAAAAGGCAGTTTAATGCCTTCCCTGTGATTAATTCTACAGCCGAGGCATGGGCTATCTGTGACTAAGGGAGGGGGGCTGGATGGAGGTCAGTAAAGGGGGGAAGTGGGAGACATCTGTAATAGTGTCAACAATAAAAAAGAAAACATTAGCTAACCCCCTCTCCCCAAATGAGTGGCCTGCAGCACTCTGATGTTGAGTAAACTCATAGGTGAAAAGCAGACTGCTGAGAAAAGCTTGTTTCAAAGCCACGATTTTTAAAGCTGGATTGATAAAACACAAGGTAAATCTTAGAGGGGAAAAAAGCAAAACAGGTTGTGTACCTGGCTGGGTATTGATGTGCCTCAAAATACTTTTCTACAGCAATTATTTGATTTAGTAATTATATTTCAATTTGACTATAGAAATTACACATTAAAAAATAAATTAGGGAGGAAACCATAAACATCAGCTTCTGTAAACCCTGAAATGAGTTGTTGATGCAGAGATAGCAAATGGATTCATCTCTTATAATCAATTCTGATGAATTGCTAGCAGCTTCTTGGAGTGCTCGTGGATACAGGGGCTCGGGGACTCATACAGAGCTTTTCGCTGTTAAAACTATAAAATATAAGACAAGCCTTATTTTTCCTGCCGGTACTTACAATTTTTAATTATCAGAGATGATCGTATAGTTAAATAAGTTTAGCAATTGTATTTTGGGTGTAACTTTTTTTTAAAAAAATATTCTAATTCTTAATGTTTGCAATCTTCTGTGAAAAGGATTTTGAGGAATTGAGATGTCTGATTGCTTAGGCAAACGTTAATTTTTAAAGCCGCATCAGGTAAGTGGCTTTTCAGTATTATCCTTATATCTTAAACATATTAAAAAATATTCTTCATTTTTCTTACCCAAATAATAAGTATAATACTTCCTATTCAAGCAATACTATAAACAATTGGGACATTTCCACTATATTATGTAAGTAATTTGTTCTTATTAAGCACCCTTGTCATGTTTTCCAATGATTAGCTTATATCTTAAAACTCTATGAACATGAGAGACAAATTAACAAAATTGAAATGCTTTTATAAACAGACTTTAATTTCTTATTAATATATTACTTATTAATTAGAATATGTGATAATATTTGCAGGCTGATTTAGCTAT